GGACTACAGCCCACTTCTTCGGATGGGCTGTAGTCCACGAAAGCTTATGCTCTAATAAATTTGTTAGTCTCTAAGGTGCCACAAGTACTCCTGTTATTTTTTGCTAAAAATCTAAGTTCATCAAACATGGGTCTATCTGCAGAAGTACGTACATGCATCAGTTCCTGCTAGCTGACTCCATAACATCTCTGATGTCCTTGAAAGACTGCAGATAATGGGTTTTATAATACAGTAGTTCTCAACCAGGGGTATGCAGAGGTCTTCCAGGAAGTACATCAACTCCTCTAGATATTTGTCTAGTTTTACAACAGGCTACATAAAAAGCACTAGCAAAGTCAGTACAAACTAACATTTCATACAGACAATGACTTGTTTATACACTGAAATGTAAGTACAATATTTATATTCCAATTGATTTATTTGATAATTATATGGCAAAAATGAGAAAATAAGCAATGTTTCAGTACTAGTGTGCTGTGACACTTTTGTATTTTTATGTCGGATTTTGTAAGCAAGCACTTTTAAAGTGAGGTGAAATTTGGGGGTACAGAAGACAAATCAGACTCCTGAAGGGGGTACAGTAGTCTGGAAAGGTTGAGAGCCACTGTTGTACTATAAGCTTTTTGGAGGTTGGAGTGAACTTAGGGCTCTCTAAAGTGAAAAGTGTAAAGAGCACTTGCTATAGTTACACAGGCTGCAGTTAAGCACTATACAAGCTTCTTACAGCATTGCCACTGTGACTTGATCCTGGCCAAAACTGCCTACTGCTGTTAGAGTAACTTAAAGCTAGACTGCCAGATTTGCCAAATTTTCATCATGTACACAGCTAGTCATTAGGGACTTGGAGGAGACTCATTCTATGAGCACTGAATCCACTGTCACTTCAGATTCCATGCTAATTATGTTTCTACCTCATCACTCCTGACTTTATTTTGTAATCCATCCTGTCTCTTATATATCTTCTTTCTTTCTATATCTTTCTGTTCTAGAAAGTAGTAACCATCCTTTTCATGCATGATAGACTTGTTGCAAAAACTAGAAATTCCTCTGCTTCAAACTTTTGGTTTTAACATATCGAAGCATTCAACCCAGATCAGTCTGGTAACTAGGAAACTAATGACAAGGCCAAAGTGGGGGAGAGGGGAGTCTGCCAACCAAAATTTACCAGACTGTAGTAGTACTGTAGGTCCGTAATACTTCAGTATAAAAGGAATTGTTCTCTTCAATGTAAGAGGTGAGTGATTCCCATAAATAAAAACAGAAAAGGGCAGAAAACACTTCTGCAAAGTCTTCAGATATCTGTATTTTTGCTGTCTTCTAGCTTCACGCATCACTGAGCAGGTCTCAGCAGTAGGGAATCATGGGAAAGGAGAGAAGAGGAAAGTCTCAGAGGAAGAGAAGAACGGCCGTGAAGAACTTGTGGAAAAGAAAGTTTGTAAAGGTTTTCAGACAGTTTGAAAACAAATGTACTCTGTTTTGTACTCTTTACGTTGGGTTGAGTAAGTCCAGATCAAAGCTGATCTCTGGTTCCTCAGTACACTTTCTATGGTTATTCTAAGAAATGAAGTGTGTTGCCTGCTGGCAGAGTTCATACTTAGATCCCAGAGTTTGGATGCATCCCCTAAGTATGTTCTTATTAATTTGGGAGGCTATTAGCAGTTGTGATGAACCAGCCCAGAAGTATAATAGTGGGTACTTTCACAACCGTGCATAGACCTACAGTCAGAGCACAAGTCCTGGAGTAGCAGATGTGGAAGTGACTGACTCCTGGCAGAGTGGTTCAGACCACCTTGCCGCGCTAGCATCTTGTCACTCCATCAAATGGTTGCAATAAAAAGAGAACTCCTGAGAAAAATGGCTTAACCTTTCACATCTGGCTTGCTTGCTTTTTGGTGCAGATGTGTAAGACAAAGTAGTGATACAGATTTCCTAACATTGCACTAGGCTTTGAGAACTGGATGTGTACAGTAGGTTCAAACTAAGAAAGATAAATTTGATTGAAACAACATTTGGTTTAGCGTTTTTATCGTTAGCAGCCTCATTACAGATTTACTGTTTCATCAAGAGCAGGAGTCTCAAACTCAGTTTACCTTAGGGCCAGTGCCAGTCCTCAGATCCTCCCAGGAGGCCAATGTCACTCATGCCGCCCAGAACCCACCCCCCAAAAACTCTGCCCTCCCACCTGCCTAAGGCTCTGGGATGGAGTTTGGTTGGGGGTGGGGGTGCAGGCTTAGGTCAGGGGTGCAGTGCTTGCCTGGGGCTCCGGGGCATGCCAGGGGGCCTCTGTGCGCTTCTGCCTCCAGGCACCGCCCCCACAGCATCCCATTGGCCGCAGGGGCAGTCGGGGCAGGAGCAGCGTGTGGAGGCACAGCCCCACCCTGCCCCTGGGCCGCAGGGAGGCGCTGGCAGCCACTGGAGCGAGCAGGCAGACGCTGCTCAGCTCCACTGCACTGCCAGGGCCCCTGAGGGGGGCAGCAGGTGTGGCCAAGGGAGAGACCCTGCCCCAAAACTGCTGGAGCCCCACGGGCCACATTGGGGAGGCTTGCAGGCCGCAGATGGGAGTTTGAGACCCCTGATCAAGAGAGTTTCCATGGAGTGCATCCCTCTCCTGGTCGTGCAATATCCCAGTCTGATGTAGCTTTAGCACTCAAGCTTGGTTGCCCTGATTCAAAAGGATTCAAACTGCCTTACAGTTTCCGATGTTGGGGTCACTTAATACTAGTGTCACAAAGCATGTCACTTTCAGCAAAAGGTTCCAAAAGCTGACCCTTTTTTAAAAAAACCTTTAATTTCAAGTACAGCCCATGCAGGGCAAGACATGCTTCTTGTCATGGTACCATGGGATTTTCAGAATCTTGCATAGAGCAAAATGATCACAAGTTTGTAAATCAGGCTTAGGAGACAGAGGCGTTTCATGTGTGTAATCTTGCTTTGTTTCTCACTAGCATCTGGAGGCATCTTTGGACTGAAAGGTTATATGGCAGAGAGGAAAGGTGAACGAGAGGAGATGCAGGATGCACATGTCATCTTGAATGACATCACTGAGGAGTGCAGACCCCTTCCCCCTCAAATGTAAGTAGGCCAGACCTCTGGGGCCAGGGAGTAACATTGTAGTAGAATGGAGTCATGACAAGAAGATGAAAGAGCTCCCATTAACTTTGCCTGAGCTCTTGACAATGATCCCTCACTCCGAGCAACTACTGCTCATGACTAAATATTGCTTTGTGTGGTGGCATGGGTGATCTGGATTGTATTCCTAGCTCTGCCACTGACATTGAGAAAATCATGTAAGGTTTGATGATGCAAAAGGTACCTCATTTGTTAGGTGGTCCACATCAGGTGCCTAAGACCTGACTTTTTTCTTTTTATTTATTTATTTTCCCCATGAAGTCCTGAGTACCCACCACTCCTGTTGACTTCAGTAGAAGTCAACTCCTCCTTGTACCTCTGGATATCAGACCCAAGATACTTGAAGGCTCTGAAATTGAGTATAGCTGTTTAAGCCTTGCCTTTGGGGTTTCACAACAGTTAAAATCCCAATTGTGGCAGTGATGAGGAGCTTGGATACTTGTAGAAGAGAAGCCATCAGGTATCAAACACTCAATTTAAATTAACTATACCTTTCAGATGATTAGAGGGGAAGTGGTGGAATGTATCATTTTTAAAAACAACACGGACAGGCCATAAAAGATTATTTAAAAACATTATTTTAAAGCTAAATATGTGATCTAAAGCTTGTAGACCAAAAGGCAATTTGAAAATAGTATGTCCCCATGTGTCTTGTGTATTGCACAGCTATGTTGCACTGGCATCTGTGAATAGCAAATTCTGAAATTGTTGGAGAGAGGTTCCAGAGTTGAAGTGCCCATGAGGTGGAATGTTTATCTGCTGTTAAATGTAGCTGGGGGCCAAAGCCTCTTTTCCTTTCCTTCATTTCCTGGGGGAGGTGGGGAAACTTTTAGTACTCATACATGCTAGCTCTACACTTTTTAGAGGAAACACTGCATTTTCTTTTCCAATACAGGTTGGGAGAGGTGCTAGGGACACAAGCCTCTTTACTAAATCTTAGCTTCTGGTTGATACCAGCCGTTTCACAGCTAGTTTACATTAATGTTTCTTCCTTTGCAGAACCCGTGTCTCATACTTTGCCGTTTTTGATGGCCATGGGGGAGTTCGAGCTTCAAAATTTGCAGCACAGAATCTGCACCAAAACCTGATTAGGAAATTTCCTAAAGGTAAGAGAGGGCCATGTGGGGGCATGTGCATCATCTTTCATTCCTTATGACTTGTGCTGTGGTGTGTCCACTAAGAAATGACTTTGGACAGCCAGAGTCAGGGACATAGATGTGTGTGGAGTATTGGGCGGTCATGCCTCTAGGCTGTAGATAGGTGAGGTGTGATAAGTTGTTGAGCAGATTTGTGAGGTTATCAAGCCAAAAGCCATAACAGTGTTAGCTAGATTAGGCAAGTTCTATGAAATAGCCAGAGCAGATCTGTGAATATGGCTGAGGAAAATAATAGCGTTACAATAGGTGTCCCTTGTCTTCAAGGGTGAATAACTAGGCTATGTTATACAAACTGGCCATGTGCTTTTATACCTGAATCTTTGGCAGTTGGGCACATGGGCCATGTCTGCCCTACGTAAGTAACATGCGTGCAGTGTCACCTGTTTATGCATGTCAGACAAGTGAGGAAGGGGGCAGGGATTAGATGAGCATGGTGTTTCAAAAGGAGCATGCGCCACTTTCTCTTGTGACAGGAGAGGTAGTCAGTGTGGAGAAAACAGTGAAGAGATGCCTTCTGGACTCTTTCAAACATACAGATGAGGAGTTCCTGAAGCAGGCCTCCAGTCAGTAAGTATAAATGTCCTCCAGAGCTACTTGTAACTATTAAAAATGTTTCTCTCTCCCAGACCCCAATTCTGAGTTGTACCTCCTGAGTGGTACAGCCAGAAGGTGCAACTCCTACATTGGGGCAAAGAACATAAGAATGGCCTTACTGGGTCAGACCAAACGTCCATCCAGCCCAGTATCCTGTCTACCGACAGTGGCCAATGCCAGGGGCCCCAGAGGGAGTGAACCTAACAGGTAATGATCAAGTGATCTCTCTCCTGTTGTCCATCACCACCCTCTGACAGAGGCTAGGGACACCATTCCTTACCCATCCTGGCTAATAGCCATTAATGGACTTAATCTCCAAGAATTTATCCAGTTCTCTTTTAAACCCTATTATAGTCCTAGCTTTCACAACCTCCTCAGGCAAGGAGTTCCACAAGTTGACTGTGTGCTGTGTGAAGAACTTCCTTTTATTTGTTTTAAACCTGCTGTCCATTACTTTCATTTGGTGGCCTCTAGTTCTTCTATTATGGGAACAAGCAAATAACTTTTCCTTATTCACTTTCTCCACATCACTCATATTTTTATATAC